CGCCCCTTTCTCGGTCCAGTAGAAGCAGCACCGTGCGTCCGTCCGCTTCGGAGTTGGAGGGCGACGCCCAGGACCCTAGTGGGAGAGTGTCGGCGTCGCGCGCGTGAGGAGGGGCGGGAGGCGCCGGTGGGAGGCGCCGGCGGAGGAGCCCCGCTCGCAGAGCTCCAGCGCCACGAGCGAGGGGAGCGCGGCGCCCGCACAGGCAGAGCGCCCCCGGGGGCGGACACCCGGCGTCCGCACCCCGCTATGGCGCGCCCCCCGAGCCTGCGACCGCCGCCGCCCGTCCTGCTGCTGCTGCTGCTGCTGCTCGGAGCCGGTGAGTGTCGTCTGTGCGTACATGGAGCCCGCTCCGGCCAGGGCGTTAGGGGGAGGGCGATGGGAGCGTGGAGGCGGGGCCCGGGTCCCCGCTGCCTTGAGAGGGCTCATACCGCACAGCTGCCTGGTCCCGGGCGTCCCGTCTGTACGAGCCTGGGCAACTGGAGGAGGAAGCCCAGGGTGCCAGGAAGGGGCTGGGTTCCATGCCTAGTACATTAACTGTTGTAGATTGAGTGCTGGCAATGGTCAGGACACCCAAGCATCTCCTCGCCCTCGGTGTCCCCTCTTCTGTCTTGAGGTGCGTCTACACAGTCACGGAACAACCGCAGCCAGGCCACTATGAGGACAGCATGTTTAGGAGGCAGGGAGAATCAGAAGCAGGACTGCCCTTTGCTCGACATGGGCTTCAACTCTTCCACCTCCTGTAAGGACTGGGGAAGTGGACACTAGGTACCGATGAAGAAAGAGAAGTTTTTTGGTAGAACTGACTTGTCACAAATTAGAGTTGTAAACTGCTCCCCAGAACTTGCCAACATCATTATTTGGTTGTATTGTGAGAATATTGCTCACCACCGACAAACGTCTTCTTCAGGTATCGGGCTCCTGCCCAGAGCCTGACTGGAGGGAATCCTGAGGCAGTGACCACACATCGACCCTGTGACCTCTGTCCACAAGGTAGTACTACAGAAATGCAATCTTGACTGTGAGACAGATACGGAAGGAAGGAGGGAAAGGACTGGTCTGTCCAGACTGACTTCATCACTAAATCAGGGCAGCAAGACATCATTGATCTGATTTGACTGCCCAGGAAATGTCACTAACCCTAATGGTATGGCTGCATGTCAGGATCAGGGGTAAACATTAAACACCTTCCTCCAATTTAGACGCCTTAATCAATTTAGGGGAACAAGCTCCACCCTGTTATGATGAAATTTAACATGGCCCCCACCTTCTTTTGTGGAGCTGCAATGCCTCTAAATCCATGGCTGCTCAAACTTGGTGAACTATCAGCTAACAAATTAGAGAGGTTTACTTTTGAAAATTGTTATGGCTCAATATTTAGTCCAGTTAAAGCAATGAGACATGGACCTGCTACATTTTTTTCAGCAAGCCCCTATTTGGTGCCTACCAGAAGTAACATTGTAAACATTTAGTGTTTCTCAAACTGTTTAAATCCATGTCCCCCTTTTGGTAAGGATAATCTCAAACCTTCCTTAAATATTTTTTGAAATTTCAAAAGCTTTCTTTTTCATCTTCTACATATAAAATTATCAAATATGCTTTTGTGAACCACTCATTCCCTTTGGAAATTCTGATATACCCCCAAAAGTGTCCTAACCTCTCTCTTCCCTATTCCCTCCGTTGAGAAACTCTGGTTTAATCCAATCTCCTCATCTTACATTTGGGAAACTAAGGTCCAGAAAAAGGAAGTAAATTGTCCTAGGCAGAGCTGGGACTAAGGTGAGGTGAGAGAAGGGGGTGCCAAAAAACTCAGTAGTCAAGGTAAAGAATATTTTAATGCAATATTTTTAAAAATCAAAATTAATGACCAAAAAAATCCATGATGAGCAAAATATCAAAATTTTAAAGGAAAAGAGTAACGATGCTATGCTGAGGCATTTTGGAACTGAAGCAAAAGGAAAAATCAGTACTGCCAGTCCTGTATTTATGCATTGAATATGGCACTGATTCTCAAACTTTAGGGTACATCATACTCTCCAGCGAACTTGCTAAAATCAGATTCACAGGCTTTATCACCAGAGATTCTGGTTCAGTAGTTCTGGGACAGGGCTCAGAAATCTGCGTTTTAATAAGTAACCTAATTGATTATCATGTGATTAGAAGAGGAAGTTGGACTAACTAAACTCTGAGGCCCCTCCTAATTTTGGGACTCTAATTGTAAGTAGAGGGAAGGGGCCCAGAGAAGGTACAGAGGTGACTCACAGAATGTCTCTGTTATCTGATTATTTCTTAAATAGTAGGAGCTTACAAAGAAGAGACACTGTTCTGGGCACTGGCGACAGAGTAGTAAGACAGACATGGAAGTCTAGAGGGGAGATAATCAATAAAAAATCAAGTAAAAAAATAACAAGTGGTGATAAGTGCTATGCAGAGAATTAGAGTAATAATGTCTCACTAGGGGGCTGTTTTACATTGGTTGGTTGGGGATGGCCTTTCTGAGATGACATTTAAGCTGCAAACTGAATTATCAGAAGGGGCCAGCCATGTGAAGATTGGGGGGAAGAGCATTCCAAAGTAGAAAGAAAGGCTAGGGCAAAAGCCCTAAGGTGATGTCTTGTTCATGCTTGTCTTGTTCAATGGCAACCAGAAAGAAGGCCAGTGTGGAATGTGGGAAATGGGAGACAAAGAGAGGGCTAGGAGGTGAGGTTAGAGAGGTAGGCAGGGACCAGGTCTTACAAGGCTTGGTAAACCAGGGTATCTAAACTAGATCTTAACCTAAGTGCAATGGAAGCTGTTGGAGGGATTTAAGCAGAGAAATGAGATGATCTGATTTACAGTTTTTAAGAGATGATCCCATATAATGCCAATCAGCATTAGAATTATGTTATTTTCACACAATGGAATGCTATATAGCAACAAAAATAAGTTACTTACAACTGTACTTAACAGTGTGGGTGAATTTCACCCACATAATATTGATTAGTAAACAAAATATTGATCAAAAGAAGTCAAGACACCAGAAGCACATGTTGTATGATTGAAAAACAGGCAAAACTAATCTCTAACATTAGAAATCAAAATACTGGTTTCCTTGGGGCGATGGTGACTGGCAGAGGGCTTCTGGGGTGCTGGTGATGTTCTGATCCTTTATTGGGGGGGGAGGTCTGGTTACACAGGTGTGTTCGCTTTGAAAATCACTGAATTGTACTTTTTTTTTTTTTTCTTTTTTGGTGAGGGAGATTGGCCATAAGCTAACATCTGTGCCCATCTTCCTCCATTTTACTTATGGGACGCCGCCACAGCATGGCTTGATGAGCAGTGCGTAGGTCCACACGTGGGATCTGAACCTGCAAACCCCAGGCTGCTGAAGCAGAGCGTGCAAACTTAACCACTACACGACTGGGCCGGCCCCTGAACTGTACATTTTTGATTTGTGCATTTTTCTGTATGTTATACTTCAATAAGAAATTTATTACCAAACACGATATACAGATGGCTAACAAGCAAATGAAAATATGCTGAGCATCATTAGTTATTAGGGAGATGAAAATGAAAACCACAATGAGATACCACTTCACACCCATGAGGATGGCTATAAAAAAAAAAGAAAACAAAAAAACCCCCAAAAAATAGCAAGAGTATGGAGAAAATAGCAAGTATATGGAGAAATTTGAACCCTAGTACATTGCTAGTAAGAATGTAAAATGGTGCAGCCTCTGTGGAAAACAATTTCGCTGTTCCTCAAAAAGTTAAATGTTGAATTACCATATGACCCAGCAATTCCACTCCTAGGTATACACGCAAAAGAATTGAATACAAGTATTCAAGCAAATACTTGTACATGAATGTTCACAGCAGCACTGTTCACAATAACCAAAAGGTAGAAACAACCCAAATGTCCATCAACTCATATATGGATAAACAAAATGGAGTACATCCATACAATGAAATATTATTCATCCATAAAAAAGAATGAAGTACTGATGCAATGCTACAATGTGGATGAACCTGGAAAACAGTGTGTTAGATGAAAGAAACCAGATATAAAAGATCACATATTTTATGATTCCATTTACATGAAATATCTGGAATAGGTAAATCTGTAGAGACAGAAAGCAGATTAGTGGTTGCCAGAGACCAGGGGGAAGGGAGAATGGGGAATGACTATTTAATGGGTACAGGTTTCCTTTTGGGGGTGATGAAAATGTATTGGAATTAGATAGAAGTGATGGTTCTCCAACATTGTGCATGTACTAAATGCCATTTAATTGTACTTTTTAAGATGGCTAATTTTATGTTGCATGAATTTCTAAAACATTTTAGAAATGTTTTCCAACCTAAAAAAACTTATTAAAAAAGATGGCTGCAACAACGACAACAAAATACTAATTATGTGAGGTGAAAGATATGTTAACTAATCTTATTGTGGTAATAATTTCACAATATATATGTGTATCAAATCATCACATTGTACACCTAAAACTTACACAATGTCATATGTCAATTATATCTCAATAAAGCTGGGAAAAAAAGATGGCTGAATGTTATGGGAGAATGAATTTGGAAGATGGAATCAGGGAGACCAATAAGGAGTCTTGACAGTAGTTCAGACAAGAGTTGATGGTGGTTCGAGCTAAGGAGGTAGTGATAGATGTGGAGAGAAGTAGACAGATTTCAGATATTGGAGTGGAGTTGATAGTGCATAGTGGAGTTGACAGAACTTGTTGGATTGAACATAGGATGTAAAGGAAAGAATTAAGAGTCACTCCTAGATGTTTTGCCTTGAAAAACTGGGGGAATGATGATGTTCTGTTACCCCTTGATAGCGACCCTAAATCTTAGGATACAGGGCCTTCCTCCAGGGCTGAGCTATAACTAACCTTGGTATTCCTGAGTGACAGAATCAGCAAAAGCTCCCCACTCCAAGCGCAACCAGTTCCCACCATAAGGTATTTTTAAGTGACTTTTAATGGAAGACTCAGAGTTGTTGCTGACTCTCATTTAGCACCCCCAGGCACATTCTCAACTCTCTGGTTATGATGCTAGCCCTGCCCATGGCATAGCTCTGCCCAGGGTGCCCTTCTCTGTGCCTGGCAGGGTCATCAGGCTCAGCTTCAAGCAACTGTCCCCCTCCCCTTTCCAGGAGGCTGAGCAGCCTCTCTTCAAACTTCCATCTCTTCTTGGGCCTGATGTGTTCTGTCCAGTGTCACAGCTGCAGACTCTCCACTCCTGCTGGACTTCTTTCTCCCCACTTATTCCTAAAGGCCTTTGTGCTATCCCAAGACCTTCCTGCCCAAAGTTTCATCCGGAGCCCCCCACCCTACCTTACAACTTGGTTCTCCCAGACAGCTCCTCTGACCTTATGTGAGCCTTACCTGGTCTCTCTTTCCCCACAGGGGATCCTCTCCCCAAAGAGGGCCGGCTCGTGAACAGCTGTATCCAGGCCAGGAGGAAGTGCCAGGCTGATCCCACTTGCAATGCTACCTACCAGCACCTGAATTCCTGCATTTCTAGTATAAGCACCCCATCACCCGCAGAGGAGCCTTCGGTCCTTGCAAACTGCGTGGAGGCCGCACAGCACCTCAGGAATAGCTCTCTGATGAGCTGCACATGCCACCGGCGTATGAAGAACCAAGCTGCCTGCCTGGACATCTACTGGACCGTTCACCCTGCCCGCAGCCTTGGTGAGGCCCCCATCCTAGAGTGGCCTAAGCTAGGGGAGATGGCTCTTGGGGGTTGTTTTTCAATCCTGCAGGATACGGGTCACATGGTAGATTCTGACAGGGATGATAATGAAGCTCTGCATTTGACGTCAGTGAGAAGTGGAGGGGGGAATTGGCAGTATCCTTTTGGGACCCTACAACACTGCCCTCCCTTCTTCCTACTTCCCTCTTTCTTACCTGGCAACATGTAGCTGTCTCTTGGCAGAGCTCTGAACCAAGCTGAAGCCCAACCTAAGCTCAGGGGAGCTCCTAGAACAGAAGGGTATGGAAAGGAAGTGGAGGAAAATGGTCTTAACCCATAAACAGGTTCCAAGTACAATGTAATTCATAAGTTCAGAGAGACTGGGAGGCAGCATCAGCATCCTGGTCCAGTCTTTAACAGAAAGGATACTCATTAACCAAACAGGAGATAGTCAGAGAGGGGAGGCACTGGAGAGCCAAAGAGAGGAGCTTCCTCTGACTCTTTCCAGAGACCCCTCTCTGTATTAGTCAGCTTTTACTGAACTATGCTACAATAACAAAACAGTGACTTGCAAAACAAAGGTTTAGTTCTTGCTTATGTTCCGTGTTGGCTGTTTCATGTGTCCTCTTCATTCTGGGATCCAGGCTTAAGGTACAGCCTCTATCTGGGATGTTCCCTTCTCATGGCAGAGGGAAATGAGCAATGGCTGATGAGCATGTGATGGCTTTAAAAGCTTCTGCTCAGATGTTAGATGAAATACTTCTGCTCACATTTCATTGACAAAGCAAATCACATGGCCAAGCCTGACATCACTGGGGAGGGGAAGTATACTCCTCCCACAAGGAGACATTGAAAATCACATGGCAATAAGTGAGGATGTATACTCTTACAGGGAGGGCAAAATGATTGGAAACAATAATACAATCTACCATAGTCCACCACTTGGTCAAAACATTCATTTTCTTGCCTTCCTCAAGCAAAATATATCTACCCACTTTCCAAGGAAGATGCCCTAACAGTTCTGTCTGAACATGACATTAGGCTTCAAGTCTAGGATCTCATGATAATTTTTATATCAGGTCTGGATGTGGCTCCTCTTCGTCTAGAAACCTATGGACTAAAAAAGACAGTCATCTGCCTATCATACATACTCAATATACAGTAATGGAACAGGGACAGGAGAACCACAGCAAACACTCTCAGTTAGAAAGGGGAGGAATGGGAGACACACAGCAGACATTGATTCATAGCAATTCCAAAGTCCTGCTACACCAATGTTGCAAGGGCCATCTTCCCTGGAAGTAAGAGATTGCTCTTTAATAAGGCTCTTCCATGGGAGAGTTACTCTATCCATTGTTCTCCAGGGCTCTTGGCCCAGCCCTCTGGGAGGTCCTTCCTTTTCTGTTATTTTCTTTGGCGGCATCTGAAAAGGGCGTTGGAGACTACAACCTCCTTAGGGACTAAGCAGCATTCTCAGCTTGCTTGCTACCCGTGTTGGGGTATTTTAAGTCTCAAATAGTCACAATCTCTTTTAATCCAGGCTGGTGGCTCTTAGCAGTACAACTCCCTTAAAACTTAATTGCTTTTTATATCTTTGATTTCTGTCACCTGATGTGCCAGTAGCCTTTCCTGTAATCCTTTTCAAAACATGCATCTGTTTCTAGACCTAATTAGGAGTACCTTGTCCTTATCAGGCTTCTGTGGGAGAGCCACTACCTTAGTCTTTTTTTCCCTGAGCACATTTGTCCAACTGGCAGGATCTATTGGATACCATCGTAATCAATGAGAGCTCTCCACAAAGGGCATGATAGCCACATACTTGAATTGGTCTTTGCCCTGAGGCTGAGTTGTAATTGACCTTATTACTCAAAGCATTTTTCACTTTTATCTTTTAGCATTTGAATATGAGAAGCAGTTACATTTCTTAATCCTGCAAGTCCTAGAATTTCTGGATTCTGTCTTTTCTCTTTCCTCCCTATTTGCAAACTGGCCAATTCTTCTCTGAGCTTCTATCTTTCTTGTAGTACCTTGCCAAATGCAGCCAATAGCAATCAAGACATACTAATAACCTTTTGCTTCTCAACTTCTTCCCCTTGAAGTACAAGCTCATTCAGTGCATCATCTTCCTTCCAAGTTACTGCAGGCAACAAGTGCCACTGCATAATGGGAGCTGCTATCTTTCCAGCCCCTAGTAACAGCTTATTCACCATCCACTGTCCAATCCCAAAGCTGATACCACACATTTTAGACTTTTTTTTTGGAACTGCAGCCCTCCACTTCTAGATACCAATTGCATTTTTCATAAGAATTTGCTAGGTTATGCTGCAGTAACAACTGACTAACCCCCAAATCTCTGGCTTTCAACAACAAAAATGTATTTCTTGCTCATGTTACACATCTGCTGCAGGCTTCCATGAGTTGGTTTTGTCTTTACTCTGTCTTATTCATTTGGGGATCCAGACTGGTAGAGGGAAGAGAGCAACAGCAGAACCATGTGATCATTCGTAAAGGTTCTGCTCAGATGTGATTTTTTTTTTTTTTAAAGATTTTATTTATTTATTTTTCCCCCCAAAGCCCCAGCAGATAGTTGTATGTCATAGCTGCACAACCTTCTAGTTGCTGTATGTGGGACGCGGCCTCAGCATGGCCGGAGAAGCGGTGCGTCGGTGCACGCCCGGGATCCGAACCCGGGCCGCCAGCAGCGGAGCGCACGCACTCAACCGCCAAGCCACGGGGCCGGCCCCTCAGATGTGATTACATCACTTCAGCTCACAATCCACAGGCCAAAGCAAGTCACATGGCCCAGCCAGACAGTGAGGTGGGGAAGTATACTCCTCTCACAGGGGGCCTGCAAGTCACATGGCAACAGATGGGGCTGTATAATCCTCCCACAGGGTGAGCAGCAAATAAGTGGAAACAGTAAAATGATTTACCACACTCCTTGTTCCCTGCTTTCCACTCTTTATCCTAATTGCTTCTCAGAACTTCCCCTGGATCCTCTCACCTTCCCTCTTTTCCCTTGGGAACTCCAGGGCTTCCCAAGTATCCAAACCATCCTCTCCAGTTTGCCTGACATCATCCATATTCCTTCCCTCCTCAAGATGCATTCACAAAGGCTTATTGGGTGACAAACCTGCAAGCTCACCTCTCTCTTCTGACGGGATTTATTAACCAACGTTAATTGAGCGCCTACCATGTGTATGAACTATGTGGTGATTTTATAAGACCTAGTAAGTCTCCCTAAGGAGCCCACAGCCCCATGGGGATGACTGAGAGAGATGTGTTTCCTTTGAGATCATCGTCTCTTCCTCCTCTGCTTTTCTCAGTCAGGTTCAATTCAGGACCTGGCCTCACTCCCATCTCCTCGGCGTGCAATACCTCTCCATAGGCAAATGGTCAGCTCTGGAATGGAGTCCAGTCCCTTCCCCAACAGCAAGAGAAAACAAGACAGAGCCCCCTTGCCTGCTTATGTACCCGCAGGCAATATGTCTAGGAGTTAGGAGTGGAAACTCTGCAATCAGATAGTCTAGGTTTCCATTTCTTATTAGCTTATGTGAGCCTGAGCAAGTAACTTAACCATTTTCATCCTCAGTTTCTTCTTAACTACCCAAAGGCTTCTAGGAGGATTAAATGAGACTAAAAAAAAATATATATATATATATATATATTTTTTTTTTTTCCACTTTTACCATAGTGCCCAGCACACTGTGCTCAACAAATGTGGCTTTATTATTCTTATCATTAAACCCAGTTTATTCATCGATCCCAGCCTGCACCTTTATGGCCCTCTTTTTCTCTCACCTCTGCAGAGCTTGCAGCTGGTTAGGTAGAGACTGCCTTTTCCTTTTCTCCACAGGGCTTTGAGGTCTGACTCAGCAGCCTCAGCCCCTCCTACTCCTGCTCCCAGCCCGGTCCTCAGGATTCTGGTGCTCCCCACCTTGTCTCTAGGTGACTATGAGCTGGATGTCTCCCCCTATGAAGACACAGTGACCAGAAAACCCTGGAAAATGAATATCAGCAAACTGAACATGCTCAAACCAGGTGTGGAGGGCAAGCCGAGGCTGGGACGTGGGGTCTGGGCCTGGACCCTGAGAGAAGGGTGGCTGGTGGGGGACCAAGTTGGGGGGGTTGTAGGGGAAGAGTACTCACCTGCCAAGTAACTAAAGAAGCATTGTGTCAGCGTGGGAGTCTGAGCCATGGGGCATGGTCTGGTCTCATAAGACTCAATGAAGAGCAATAGAATTAGGGAGGCATTCGAAGAGAGTCCCTTAGGGCTCCCTGGTTCCCAAAGACGGGTCTCTACAAAGGGGGTTTGGTGGGAGTGGCAGCAGTCCCAGAAAAAGTGTGCTGTAATGGAGTATTTATCCTCATTTGAGGCAGCCAGGAAAGTACTTTTTGTCCCTGAAGACTAGGAAATTGCTTGTTTTCAACCATTGTAATGGGATGGGCGAGGTGTTGGGCAGGGAAAATGGGGAGAGAGAGTATGAATCCTTAGGGGTGACTCAGGGTGCGGAGCCATCTGTCTGGCAAGGACTATGATGCATGTTTTTCAGGAAAGTGAAGCTGTTGCATTAATTGGAAAGGAACACACACATGCACTCTCTTTTTGAGAAAGATGTGAGTTTTGTTGTACAGTCAGTTCTATATATTAGAATTAGAATTTTGAGATAAAAGCATAAAGATTTATACATAACAAACTCTTAGTTACAAGGAATCTGGGAATAACCTGTTCCAGTTACTCCATTGTTCTGACTGCTGGAATATTCTGTTAATAGAAATATCACCATAATTTCTCAAGACTCAGAGTATGGGTAACTTTTATGCAAGCATCAATCAATGAAAGACAGGCAGGTGATATTAAACTGAGCAGAATAGATAAATGCAAAACAAAAAAAAAATCCGAAATAGAATTTGGTTGCATCTGCTTGGACAGTTCAGAAAGTCCTTTAGAATGTTGTAGGGCCTCTAGGTTATGAGTTCCACCATGAGATCTCACTCACTGCACAGGATTGAGGAAGGAGTTTGGGTTAGTTGAGCTTTCTGGCTCCTTGAATCCTAGAAAAATGAGTGTTAGATGTTTTTTGGTTTTTTGCCTAGTGAAGCTGAGGAGTAGGATGGGAGGATGGGGGAGGCTCACGAATACCAGATATAGTTTGTGGGTAGAGGGAAAGCCCTGGATTAGAGTGGCAGTATGAGGTAGTCCTCCCTTTCCTCCTACGCCCACTACCGTATTGTTAAATGACAGGGTTGCGGGGGTTCCTTGGGGTGCTGGGCTGCAGGTTTGCAGAGAGGACTGGTGTCTTGGTGCCCCTCTCCCCCCAGACTCGGACCTCTGCCTCAAGTTCGCCATGCTGTGCACTCTTAATGACAAGTGTGACCGGCTGCGCAAGGCCTACGGGGAGGCGTGCTCAGGGTCCCGCTGCCAGCGCTACACCTGCCTCGCGCAGCTCCGCGCCTTCTTCGAGAAGGCGTCGGAGCCCCACGCACAGGGCCTGCTGCTGTGCCCGTGCGCGCCCGCCGATCAGGGCTGCGGGCAGCGCCGGCGAAACACCATAGCCCCCAGCTGTGCACTGCCGTCTGGGGCCCCCAACTGCCTGGAGCTGCGGCGCCTCTGCCTCTCCGACCCACTGTGCAGGTGCGGGTGCGGGGGGCTGGCAGGGTGGGCCAGGGCGCTGTGCGCACTGCTCCCTCCGGGCCGTCTTCCTGTGCAGGGCTGGGTCTGACCTCCCTGGGACCGTGGACGGACTTCCCCACATAGCTACCTTCTATATTTTCTGAAACTCTTTTCTCAAAAAGAATATATTTTTTTCTCTGTATAAAAACTTCAGAAAATATAAAAATTCACTCAAAATCCATCACCTAAAGGTAATCTACCATACTTGTGGGAGCATTTCCTTCCAGTCTTTTTCGTATACAGATAAACAAAATTTGACATTATGAGAATATGTTTGTATCTTGCTTTTTTTCACTTACGTTACATATCTCCTGAGCATTTTCTCGGGTAGGCAGTATGGGATAGTGGTGAAGACAGGGTTGGAAGTCCGACAGCCATGAATTTAAATCCTCGGTCTGTGTGACCTTGAGCCCATCCTTTAACCTAAAATTCCGTCACTTAACCTAAGATTCCACTTAATCCTCTGTAAAAACTGGATGATAATGCAGACCTTATGGGATTCTGGCGAGAGTTAAATTACATGCTTTATGTAGAGTGCTTAGCTTACTGGTGCATATTAAGTGCTTGATAAATGGTGGTTATGTTGTCATTTACTGTCCTTTGACAACTTGACTTTTAAGTGCCCTCACCATATTCCATTTTATTGATGCCCCATACTTTATTTAATTATTCCTCTATTGTTGGATATTTAGGTTGCTTTCTTTATTGCTATGAATAATGCTGCAGTAAGTACCACTCTTGTTCATTAATCTTTGTGCACAAATCTAATTATTACTTAGGAGGTGTTGCTACAAGTGCCATTACCAAATCAAAGGACATGAAGATTTTTAAGGTGTTTGATACATACTCTCCAGAAAAATTCTGATCTGGCTTTCCTCTGCCTTCTCGGGACAAAACACTCACCAAATTGAACTTATCATCCATTCAAGTGACATTTGTTGACAGTGGGAGTCTCACCAATCTTGTTTTGCAACCTGGTTCTACTACTTACTTCTCTGTAACCTTGGGCAATGCTTAACCTCTGAGTCCCCCTTTCCTCTTCTGTAAAATATTACATAGTCAGAGCTCTCAATAATTATAATACTAATACTTGCTGAGTACTTGCTATGGGCTAGGTACTGTTTTAAGTACTTAACATGTATTAATCATCTAAACATCACAAGAACCCTGTAAGATAGATGCTATTTTTTTTTTTTCTCATCCTCAGTTTACAAGTGAAGAAATCACAACAGAGAAAGGTTAAATAACTTGCTCGAGTTCACCCAAGTAGTAAGTCAGGTTTGTTAATGAGGTTTGGAGTGAAGGAAGTCTGAGCCAGAGTCTGTGTTCCTAACCATTCTGCTCTACTGCCTGTTATGGTGCTGGTAGCTCTTACTATTACGTAACAAGTGCTCGGCTAGGTGACTAAGATATTTTTCCTTCCTTCAAGGAGTTTGCCATTGAGTGGGGATGACAGAGGAGTAAATCACCAATCTAACACAAAGCAAAATGTAAGGAAAACTGCAGAAATATATATAGAAAAACGTACTCATAATTCTATCACCTAAAGATAACCAGCTTTACCTATTGTAGGATGAGTGTTAATGATAACAATAGGGGTTGGCTCGGTGGCGTGGTGGTGAAATTCGCACGCTCTGCTTCGTTGGCCCTGGGTTTGCCGGCCCGGATCCTGGGCATAGACCTATGCACCACTCGTTAAGCCATGCTGTGGCACCACCCCTTATATAAAATAGAGGAGGATGGGCACTGATGTTAGCTCAGGGCTAATCTTCCTCAGCAAAAAACAAACAAACAAAAACAAAACCAATATCTAACATTTATTAAAAATTTAATAAGTACAAGCACTGTGCTAAATGCTGTACATGCATTCTCTTATTTCATTCTCACAAAAATCCACAAGGTAGTGCTGTTTGTGTCTCTATTTACAGTCGAGGAAACTGAGATTAAAGTAGCTGCCTGAGATCTCATAACTAGAGATTGTAGAGCCCAAATTCAGAGTGGTGTGCTGTGGGGACTGATAGTGCATTTAATTGTGACAGGAGCAGGCTTCACCAAGAAGGAAGCCCTAGGCCAGGCTCTGAAGGCAGAGGAGGGTTTGGCATGAAGATGGGCATGTCAACTAAAGGGGCAGCAAGGGTGAAGGCTGCAGGCCTGACCCTCAGTGGGGACTCTTGAAATTTCCCTTTTTCCAGATCACGCTTGGCGGATTTTCAAACCCACTGCCATCCCATAGACATCCTAGGGACGTGTGCAACAGAGCAGTCCAGATGTCTGCGAGCATACACGGGGCTGATTGGTGAGGCTGGGGAGCATGTGTAAGGAGCCCACAGGTTGGCTGTCCCTGGGGGTGAGAATGCTCTGGAGACTGAACCCAGATGGAGTGGTCCTGAGACAGGTGAGAGAGGGTGGGAGCTGAAGTTGGGGTTGGCATAGGCCCTGACAATCCTCTCTCCAACCCACAGGGACTTCCATGACTCCCAACTTTGTCAACAATGTCAACAACAGTGTTGCCTTAAGCTGCACCTGCCGAGGCAGTGGCAACCTGCAGGAGGAGTGTGAGCGGCTGGAAGGGTCCTTCTCTCAGAACCCCTGCCTCAGTGAGTGCACTCCACCTCCTCTCAGCCGCTGTGACCGGGTCAGCTGAACCCAGAGAGAGGAACAGGGTCAGCTCTGTGGTCCACACTGCTTCCATCCATCTCCTGCAGAGCAGCTCCCTCCTCAGCATAGGCTTACATCCCCCTGCCTGCGCCTTTCTTCCTTCTCCCACTCCCTGAGTGACCCCAAGCTGCCTATTCAACCTGTCCGGGCCCCAAGGACACTATTCAGCTCAAAGAATAAGCAAGCAGAATGAGACAATATCCCATTCCCAGCTGCTGCCCGCTTACCCTCCTATGTCCCAGGGTTCCTGAGGCATTACCTTCCCTTCCTTGGGAGCCTGAGAAATCTCCAACAATTGCCCACTTCCAATCTACTTTCTCTCCTCTCCTCAGTGGAGGCCATTGCAGCTAAGATGCGTTTTCACAGCCGACTCTTCTCCCAGGACTGGGCAGACTCTACCTTTTCCATGATGGAACGCCAGGTAAGGCACCCTCTGTTCCACCCCTCATACCTTTACCGGACTAGCTGGGGGAAACTCAGACAAGGGGATGGAGGGGGTGACCTCCTTGTGGTCATGAATACTATAGACCTCTAATGGACACCTCAGGGGATGGGGATAGGCCTTGCCTGAGGCTGAGATGGTTAAGGGGGTAGAGCTGACTCCATTCCATTTCTTCCACAGAATAAAAACCTTGCTCTGAGGCCACAGCCCTGGGTGCCCTCTCTTTTCTCCAGCCCACTTACCTTGATTCTGCTCCCGAGCCTCTGGTAACTGGACTTTCCTGGGGGCCCTCTTCCCCTCTTCTCCACCCAGCCTGACCTGCAGACTACAAGGGGTAAGGCAAGGAGAGCATCAGGAAAGAGGCGCAGTAAACAACGTGGCAACCCTGACCCCACCCAGCACGTCCAGTCGACTCCAGATGAGGCCACAGTAGAAGCTCACTGGCTGAGTTCTCATTCCCCCCACTTCTGACTCAGGCTGCCCCTCCTTGGGACTTGGTGACCACAGTTTAGTCATATCTGCTGGTGGTGACCAGCTCTACCAAGCTGTCTCCTGATCCCTTCCTCCTGCCCACCAAGATCACTGAGGCTTTAACAAATCAGTTATTCTCTATTGCATTCTCCAGGTAGGCAGGGCTGGGTGTTCTGAGACAGCCTAGAAAGACATTCCCCATTGTGAGGAAGGCTGGAGCAAGACTCCTGCCCACTTGTCTCCTCCTCTGAATGGGGGATGGGAACCTGCTGCCTGTCCTGCCCTGGGAATCTGCAAAGCATTTGAGCATCAAGAGCCGGAACATTTGGGCCTTGCTTTCTTCTCGCTACTGTCCCAAAGTACCGCCCCCCCCCAGCTTCTTGGATCATGATTAGACATTTTGACTTAAAACTTTGCTTTTTTCACATTTTCTCACATTGTTAATTTATATAGAATTAGAGGTGTTACAGACAGAAGAGCACAGGCCAGGTGATCAGGAGACACAGCAACCCTGCTGCCAACTGCTGTGTGACCTTGGGCAAGTCTCTCAGCCTCTCTGTGTACTTGACATGGAGATGGATGGAAAAATAGCTTAGGTGAGGCTATGGACCTGGTTTCTGTCCCAGCTCCAGCCATTTCTGGGATACTGCCTGGGATCTGCCACAGGAGCTGAGAGGGGAGTGTCCTTAGTCAACCACAGCATTTATTGAGCACCTCCTTGTGTTATTGGTCTGCTCCTGACCAAATGGGGGCCAGAGGAAAGGGGAGACTGGTTCTTGATCTCATTTGCAATCCTCTTGGGATAAGGAAACAGCCACCCATGCAAAGTAGTTGGAAGAATATGTAGGCTATACACATTTGTCCATTCATTCACTCACTCTTTCCATAAGCATCTGATGAGTGCTGGCTTTGCAAGGCACTGCAGTAGGTGCAGGAGATTACGGGGTAGTAAGACTCCGATCAAGCCTTTCACACACCAGAGCAGAGAAATAGACAAGACAGTCAATTAAAAAAAAATGCAATGTGATGCATGCTGTACAATAATTATAATAATAACCCTGATTTATTGAGCCTCTCTTGTGTGCCAAGTACTACTTTGCCCCTACTGTGTGTAAGTACATGCATTAATTCATTTAATCTTCCAATACTTTGTCAGTCACTAGCTATGTGACCTTGGGCTTAACCTCTCTGGGCCTCATTATCCACATCTGCAACATGGAAAAAGCATAGAACCCACCTCATAAAGAATGAGATAATCCATGTAAAAGCACTGTGCCTGACACAAAAAAGTTAGCAATTATAGTATAAGCTTTTTATAGAGAATTTGGATGATACAGATATTATTAAGAAGAAAGTAAAAATCTTTAAAATCTCTTAAACTTCCAAACTGTTTCCTGCACATCTATGCACATGAGAATCTATGGTATGTATAATTTTACATAAGTGGGGTCAGACACTGCGTGTCAAAGTGTGAGTCACAGACACCTTTCCACATCTGTGAGTGGAGCTTGAGCTACATCATTCTTTTATCAGCTGCGTAATGGGGACTTGTATGAATGCATATTCCTACATACATAGTTTATTTAACCAGTTCTGTATTGATGGATATTTGGCTGTCTTCCCATTTTTCTTCCAGCCAAGTTTTAAAGTAGCGAGGTGGTGACTGCGGGTGGGGTGTGCAGAGGAGCTGCCAGAGTGGTGGGTGGAATAAGGAAAGCCTCTCCCTATACATTCTTGTATCCCCGTGGCCCACCCTGTCCCAAGAAATGCCCAGCCAACCTGCCTCCCTGCAAGCTTCAGTGGGGTGCTGGGTGGACCTTCCCCTTCCTCCTTTTCCAGAAAGATCTCTGAACCGGTCAAAGCCTCTCCATTTGCTTTTGTTCCATTAGCCTGGGGCTGGCGGTGTGAATGGTACAGTCATTCCTTGCTAAGTGCTTGAATTAGACTAATAGGTCATCTGTGCTTTTCTCTGAAGAAGGTCCAAATTCCTGGTAAACAACCAGACCACTCTCCCAGCCCAGGGCCTAGAGCCAAGACCCAGCATGGGGCCACAGTGGCTGGACTGAAGTTTTAATGGTATCCTGGCTGGCTGGGATGGTTAATGCCATTAGTCTAGGTTCTGGGTGATGAAGTGGGAAGGGTGGCTGGCAGCAGTGGTAAGTAGAGAGTGCTGAATTACAGGCCTATGCATGATTGGGGTGGAGCAGAGTGTCTTTAAACAACTATCTTGAAATTCACCCATTCAATCATTCATTCATTCAACAAACCTTGCTCTGTGCCAGACTGTATTTTTCCAAGATCTGTCCCTGCCCATTCATGAGCTGCCATTTCAGTGAAGGGGCAGCCCAGGACTGGCAGCTGAGCTCCAAGTTTGGGCAGTTGGGACTCTTCATTTGTCCTGGTTGATTATAACACACAGCTGTTTGACCTTGGGAAATATTCTTTTTTGTTTTGTCTTTTCGGTTTTTTTAATTGATGTCTTAATAGTTTATAACATTGTGAAATTTTAGTTGTACATTGTTGTTTGTCAGTCACCATATAAATGTCTCCCTTCACACCTTGTGCCCAACCCCCAACCCCCTTGCCCCTGGTAACCACCAAACAGTTCTCTTTGTCTGTGTGTTGGTTTATATTCCACATATGAGTGAAATCATGCAGTGTTTGTCTTTTTTTCTCTGGCTTATTTCGCTTAACATAATACCCTCCAGGAAATATGCTTTACCCCTCTGAACCACCGTTGCCTCATCTACAGTGGGGATGCCAATAGGAATACTTAACTTAAAGGGTTACAGGTTTTTTTTTTTACCTTTTTTTATTGTGAAATTTTTGTTGTACATTATCGTTTATCAGTCACCATATAAGTGCATCCCTCCACCCCTTGTGCCCACCCCCCACCCCCCTAGCCCCTGGTAACCACCAAACAGTTCTATGTGTCCGTGTATTGTGTTTTGCTTTGTTTTTAATAAGTACAATATCAGCAATTTAATTTCAGCCAAAAAATTAATTGGCAATATCAACTAATGTTTATATCAGTTTTAATGGTTTGGATTGGCAATTTTTTGTCTTTCTGTTTCTATAAAAGCTTATAAGTATGAGGAATTTATGCTTGTTTTGATCTCCATGTATATTTAAGGTAGATAATAGTAAAAGAATTTAAAACCAATCAGGGTTGTTTTGAGGACTGGAAATAATTATAACACTTAGCATAATGCCTGATACAGGATGAACACTCAATAAATGGCAGCTATTACTGTTATTACTTCTAAGAGGGGATCTATGAGTACCATGTATTTCGCTCTCTGCTCTAGAACAGTGGTGAGTGATGGTGCTCATTCTCCTTCCAATTGTGGGCTGAATTCTAGGTGGGGCTGCCCCTAGGAGATTCATTATTCAAGGTCTGAACTCCAGGGAAGCCAGAGCTCTGGGTCTGTAGCTCAGGCCCTGAGGGACCTTGGACAAGTCATGGAGTCAAAGAAAGTCAGTGTCTTAGTCAAGGGTCTTTTGGCAGCAGGTAACAGAAACATTGGAATTACTTAGTAAAAGGGGAATGTCATGCAACCCAATCCCAAGAAGTTCAGTCAGGCCTTGGGGGAGCTGGGACTGGTGAGTCAGAAACCAGTCTTGAACCCCATCTATTGAAGGCCTAAATGTCTTGGACAATCTACTTCATTCTTTCTGCAGACCTATTTCTGCATGACCTTCCAGGTCCAACGACTTCAGCTAAATGATCCCCCATCCCAATTCCAAATTCACAGAAAATCTGATTATCCATGCACAGATTCTATATTGGCTTTTCTGGGTTGAGGATCCATCCCAGACCTATCAGCTGGGTAAAAGAAACATAGATCCAGGGCTGGCCTGGTGGCGCAGCGGTTAAGTGGGCGCACTCCGCTGTGGTGGCCCGGGGTTCGCAGGTTCAGATCCTGGGTGCGCACCGACGCACCACTTGTCAAGCCATGCTGTGGCCATGTCCCAAATAAAGTGGAGGAAGATGATTGTCAAGCCATGCTGTGGCGGCATCCCATATAAAGTAGAGGAAGATGGGCACTGATGTTAGCCCAGGGCCAATCTTCCTCAGCAAAAAGAGGAGGATTGGCATTGGATGTTAGCTCAGGGCTAATCTTCCTAACAAAAAAAAAAAAAAAAAGAAAAGAAACATAGATCAACCTGCTACTAAAGTAATTACAGGATCCCAGGGCTATTAGTGAAGCGCAGTTTTCAGAGAAGGCAGTATGGCTCACCAGGACCCCCAAAGGCATAGACTCTTGTCGGGGAATTGGGGTGGATCTTAATCACCTGAGGTCCAGCTTTGCTTTTTATTTTAAATTTTAAAAAAAATTTATATAATTGAGGGAACAGCATCAAAAGCCCAGAAATAAAACCACACATCTATGGACAGCTAATCTTTGACAAAAGAGCTAAGAACATAGAATGGAGAAAGGAAAGTCTCTTTAGTAAATGGTGCTGGGAAAACTGGACAGCCACATGCAAAAGAATGAAAGTAGACCATTATCTTTCGACATACACAAAAATTAACTCAAAATGGATCAAAGACTTGAAGGTAAGACCTGAAACTGTAAAACTAGAAGAAAATTTAGGCAGTACGCTCTTTGACATTGGTCTTAGAGGAATCTTTTCGAATTCCATGTCTACTCGGACAAGGGAAACAAAAGAAAAAATAAACAAGTGGGACTTTGTCAGGCTAAAGAGCTTCTGAAAGGCAAAGGAAACCAGGATCAAAATGAAAAGACAGCCCACCAGCTGGGAGAAAATATTTGCAAATCATATATCTGACAAAGGGTTAATCTTCATAATATATAAAGAAGTCACACAACTGAACAACAAAAAACCAAACAACCCAATAAAAAAATGGGCAGAGGATACGGACAGACATTTTTCCAAGGAAGATATACAGATGGCCAATAGGCACATGAAAAGATGTTCAACATCACTAATCATCAGGGAAATGCAAATCAAAACTACGCTAAGATATCACCTTACACCTGTTAGAATGGCTGTAATCACCAACACAAAAAATAACAAATGTTGGAGAGGTTGTGGAAAAAAGGGAACACTCATTCACTGCTGATGGGAATGAAAATTGGTGCAGCCTCTGTGGAAAACAGTATGGAGATTCCTCAAAAAATTAAAAATAGAAATACCTTATGATCCAGCTATCCCACTACTGGGTATTTATCCAAAGAACTTGAAATCAACAATCCAAGGAGGCTTATCACCCCTATGTTCATTGCAGCATTGTTCACTATAGCCAAGAAGTGGAAGCCACCCAGTGTCCCTCGACCGACGACTGGATCAAGAAAGTGTGGTATATATATACAATGGAATACTACTCAGCCATAAAAAAGACTAAATCGTCCCATTTGGAACAACATGGATGGACCTGGAGGGTATT